CCAGTATGTCTCTGGACTGTGGGAGGAAACTGGAGCACCCAGGGGAAACCCACATGAACACGGGGGGAACATACAAACTCCACGCAGACAGTGCCTCAGCACTCTCAGGCAGCAGAGCCAATGACCGCTCTATCATGTAACCCTACTCTTAAATCATATTAAGCTGTATTTGTGAAGAGTTCAGTATTTCTAATCCTTTTCAGTTCTGTAAGTGCCTTTGGCTGTTAGAAGGATATTGTAATAGCCTTTCGCAGCCTGGTTATTTTATTAAAATGGACTCAGCTGGGTGTTGGAAGGAATGGCGTTGCAAGTTCAGGAGGAAAGGATTTGGATTGTGTTCTTATCCAATTTAATTGGCGTGGGATTTAAATTCTGTAAACTGCCGTTCCAGTTTAAATGGTTAACTAAACCCTCCAAGCATCTGGATTGTGAGGAGTGGATTACGGCCATTATGCACTAATTAGGCTAAATGATCTCAGCTTTCCTGTATTGTTCGGAAATCAAGCTAAATCCAAGTGTGAAGCGAAAGCAGCTTGTTCCCTGTGTGACTTGCGGACCGAGAGAGCGCCGGGCCAGAGCTGCCGCTGAGGCAGTGCTGCTGGGGTTGTGTGGAAGAGTGCTGCTCCACGCCGCGGGAGCGACGCTCGGCCGTCGCCGGGTGGCCAGCTGTCTGCTCGGCCCGTGGTGTTCGGCTGGACGTTGCCGCGAAAGCCTGGCTTTTTTCCACTCCAGCTGTCCTGCAGTTCGGGGCGAGAGCCTGACGCCCCCTCAGAAACATGCTTTCTTTCTCTTCTGGGGTGTAATTAACTGCAGGAACAGGCACAGCTTGGAAGTAGTTTATTTTCCTTTTAATTGTGCGTATTCACAGACGGTGGTGGTTCTGTTGTCCTGCATGCATCCACATTCCTTATTTTTTTACACTCCTCATCGTGTTCCTTCAATGCAGCGCGTGATTGCATGCTCATTGGCACTGCGGCTCAGGATCTGCGCCTGTGGCTGAAAGGTTGCCGGTTCGTATCCTGCGGCCGGCAGAGGAATCCTACTCTGTTGGGCTCCTGAGCAAGGCCCTTAACCCCAACTGCTCCAGGGGCGCTGTATAAATGGCTGACCCTGCGCTCTGACCCCCAGCTTCTCTCCCCGTCTGTGTGTCTCACGGAGAGCAAGCTGGAGTCTGTGAAAAGACAAATTCCTAATGCAAGAAATTGTATAGGGCAATAAAGTGATCTAATCTTATTGGCTAAGACGTCTCCTGTCGCTTACCAACCTTTCATGAATGAGGCCTTCAAGCGATGTTGGCCGCCAAGATCTTCAGTGCCGGTTCACTCCTGGTCACACTCATACTGTACCTCAGCACAGGTACGCATTACACTTCGTTTATTGTAGAAGTGTTTTTAATTCCTCTTTTCCGCCAACCGTAGTGTGTCTTTCTGTTGTGTGGGCTTTGCTGTTGGTATGATGCGACAAGAATGCGTTTGACCATCTATCTGAAACTGAGCTGCAGGGTCTTGTTGTGTGACACAGTGTGCTCTTAAGGTAGGATCTTCGGCTTCTGTGGCCAGAAGGGCTGAGACCTGCTGAAACACAGGTCTGTGCAGCTTTTCATTTATTGTGAGGAGCAAGCGAGCAGGAGTCCTCATGGTAGTAGATTAGTATCGTTGAGGTGAAGGCTAGGGTCAGTCGGCAAGGGCTGCCCTCTCTGGAGTCCAGGAGAAAGAGTGTCCCCTACGTTCTCCTGTGCGCCTGTAGGCTGACAGCAACATCATTAAGGTACACGATTCTTGTCCTGTCGGTGCTGAGCTTCCTGTCTGCCCCTGTGGAGCTTGTGAGCTTTTAAAAGATGATTGGTGAATGGGTGTGCATAGGGGGTCATCTGCGACACTCCGGTGGGGTTGGCGTGTAGTAAAAAGCTGTCAGCTCTGAATTCAGAAAACAACTTCAGCTTCCCTCTCCTAAAAATAGGGTAGTTTCCTACTGCCATGTGACTTTTTTTAGGAAAGTAGGTGAAAGGTCGTACCCAGTCCTCTATTTAAAATAAAAGATGGCACGTTGGCAAGGAACATTTTATTAAAGCAATTTAATCTTTTCAGCTCAGATTGTCCAGGCTGTGCTTCCGATTGGTTAAACAAAGTGCTCTACACTGCATAATCTTTCCATGTTCTCTATTCATAGGGTACTGCACGTCGTCTTTTTCACTGCGCTGTTAGGATGGGTGAGTGTCTGTGCACAGAGGCATTGTGGCCCCCTCTCTGTTTGCGTGTCTTTCCTGAGTGTGGAGTTTTGAGAATTCTTCATTCCGGATGTAATTATAGTTAATTATTGTCTTTGTAAAACCCGTTAGACATAAACATCCTTGATTCTGTGGAGAATGGTGGAGAGAATACATTCTGAAAAGATTTTTGTTTGTAAAACGCTCTCTGTCTTGAATGGTCCCCGCTAGATTCTTTACACAAGCATCTTAAACAAGAGTACTGGAGATGCACAAAAAGTTTATTTTTAATGTCGTACAAAGTGTATTTGAGAAGCTCTGGCCCACTGTTTAATATAGATGCTCAAGGCGGATGGTTTGTCTTTCCTGGTGTTGGGGTCATAGTTACAGAGACACCAGAACCAGGACTGTTCATTTAGTCCTGTTCATTTAGAAGGAATTAAAGGCTTCATTCCTCGTCAGTGTTCTTGCAGCTTGTTTAAAATACCAGGCTAGAAATCTTTCTATTCATTAATGCCATTAAGGTTTGCAAAATGCTGAAGTACTATGAGTTAATATGGTCAACAAGAGGGGATTTGAACAACATCAGTAATGTATAATTGCCATTATGAACCCTTTTTAAAGAATTACATACAGTACTTCAACATTTTAGAGGGATTAAAACGCTTCATTTACAAAGAATTCACTTCCACCTATCTTTGAGGAAAAAGTTCTTCTTTTATTGGGGAGGTTTGTGGTCAGCAAGCTGAATGTTGTGTCAGTTCTGTTCCTTTGGAGGCAGTTCTGCTGTGTGCTTTATGGTGAGAACCGTAAAAAATTAAACTTTTTGCCAACAACGTGCAGAAAACTCTTGGAAGAGTGGGCGAGTGCAGTTCTGTCCGTATCCTGTGGGAAGTGGTGCATGCTGGGATGTCTGCGATCTGTCATGCGGCGCAGCTGTCCGTCTGATTTTTTTTTTTGGGCTCTTTTCTGACCCGTGCTGTCCATTTGTACGACATTGTGTTTCATAAAGCTGCCTCCCCCTTTCCACTCGCTGCTGGCCACTGTGGGGTGGGGTGACCGTTTGGCTGGCCTGTCATTGGTTCGTCCTCTTTGCAAGCCAAGTATGGCCTGTCGCTGGCTGTCATGTTACCTTTACCCTGGAAAGCAGTGGGACCAGTGAGGTGTGGGGGGGGGGCTGGCCATGTGACTCCTGCCCCAGGAGGCCTTGACTGATGTGGATACGCCAGCTGACGGGCCTCACAGCCGATGGCTGGAGCAGCGTCGCGTGCCTGCCAGACTTCCTGTGTGCTCTCATGCTGGTGCGTGCTGCAGCAGGGAATATCTGCAGGGCCCGGGATCAGACGCCGGCTGTGGAAGGTGCTGTGAGAGAGTGCCTGTTTATTGTCATTAATGGAATTTTCCATAAGCGAGAGATTTGTGGCACTTTGCGTTTCGCTGTGGGTAACTGTTCTTAGATGGAATGGCATGTCAGAAACGGTCTGCAGATATCTCATTTACTTTGGCCTCCTAGTACGTTTTTTGTTTCAGCCATCTGCTTCCTAAGTACAACCCCCCATTCCCAGAGCTCTGGGAACACTCGACAGCAGCCAGAGATGGGACAGGGTCTTGGTGTTGTTTGTCCAAGATTATTTGGGTTGTACATTAACTGTGCTTAACGACTGTTGTGTTCTGGGGAATGGGGCAGGACCATACCTGGGTTGCTGGGTTTGTCTGACCTTTTAAAACAAACAGCACAGTCCAAGCTGAGGTGCCCCATGACTTCACAGGCTCCTTCTGCTGTCTTTTAAGCTCTGCTGCTCAGGCTGACAGAACATTTGGGTTCGGTTCTCACAGCGAGAGAGAAGCTGCCCACTGTGAGAGACAGGAAGCGAGTGCAGAATATTGTGAGTTCGTTGTGAATGCTTTCTGGGGCACTAAACAGATTTCATGTTGCTTTTCCTTTCTGTGCAAGTTATTTTAAACTGTTTTTTTTAGCTACGGACGGCGTCCTAAAGTGCTTTAAAGAGATTTTTAGTATCCAGTATGTTCTTATTTTGTGCGGATGTTGGGAAGGCTGTTGAATACAGTTTGAAGCATGCTCGGGTCTTTCCCTTTATAATCCTGAAAAAAAGGAACCAGGGACATTGCTTCTGAGGACCATCAAGAATTAGCCAAATTTAGCATGAAACTGGAGCGCACTGATTGAAAAGAAGTTTCAGTTTCGCAGTGATGTATTTTAGAGCAAGAGCAAAAATTGTCTTGTATGTTAAGACTTTTGCAGATTGGTCTTTATAGTCTGCATGAAACATTTCTTGCCATTTTTACAAGGTGGGGGGAAGGAGTGTGTCACTGCCTTCATCCACTCGTGCCTGTAGTAAGAAATACGACCTCAAGGTAGGGGTGAGCTCTTGACTCATTCATGCATCGCAGAGTCTCTCTGCCTGGTCCTGGACAGCTCCGGTCTGACACTCTAGATCTACTAAAGATTTGGCCAGTTACGCTGAGAGCTGAAGGAGGCTTTGGCTCTTGAGGGCTGAAGAGTGATTACAGATTTGCTCCAGGTAATCCCTGGATTTCTGAATGTAACAAACAGCTGGCTTGGCCAAACGCACAAAGACGATGAGTGGTTTCTAGAAACTGATATGCCCTGCCGACCTACAAAACCTGCTAGACTCATTAGCTGAATTTGAACAAGCTGTTACATTTTCTTTCCACCATGTATGCGTCTTCTGTATCGATCTCAATCACTGACAGCCCAGCTTCTTTATTTATCTGTCTCTGGGTCGTGAGGATCATTTAAAGCTTCTGACGTGTTTGTTAATCCTATGCATGTGTAGCTCTCGCCCGTTAATGGATTCACGTAGTGTTAAATGCACTGTCTTGTGTTGCGTCTTTTACCTGCCTGTAAAGCAAATGTCCCATCAGGGGCCTTGAAGGGATCGCGACAGTGGCTCACCAGGACAGCGTTTAAAGATTCCTGGAGACTTGCCTGCTGCTGCACTCCAGACACTGAAAGGACACGCTGTACCTCGCACTCCAAGAGCAGCAGGGCATCAGTCACTGGAAGAAGCTAGAATGCAGTTGGTTGTACCCGTATTCGCAGACAAACAAGACCGCAGCGCGAATGCTGCAGTAAATATAGGCTAGCGGGCTGGACCCAGTGGAAAAGTAGGTGAGAAGTCAGCCGGTCAGTGTGTGCATGGGGTCGGTGGGCAGGGCAGGCGGAGGGGAGGAGTTGGTTAGCGTGAGAGCTGGTATTGTGTAACTGTGCAGTTCTTTCTTCACCTCCGCCCTCCCCTTGATGTCTCAAGGTGCCTCGGTAGGCTGGACCAGGGTCCAGCAGCTGCAGAGCTAGCCTAAGAAGTCCACCGCTGCCTGGTACTGTGCGTTTCGGTTTTTCTGTGCTGCCCAGTGTGGTCGTCCAGCGGGGCTCCCGCGCAAGGTCAGCAGCACTCGGCTTCTGTTGGGGGTCTCCTAAAGGTTCATGAGAAACGGGGCGCTCGCTGTGAAACACAGCTGAAACGCACTCTGTGCCCTGCTCATCCTGTTCAGTAAGTGCGATAGGCACTGAATTACAATCATCTTGTGGTAAATAGCAACCTGTGGACCACCATTTTAACCTGAACTTTCCCCTCTGGACAGGTGCTTTTTTGTTGAGGAGAGTGCAGGGCTCATTCTTGAACAAACAGGGTTTGAATTGGCTGCACATGTAGTGGGTTGAAGGAGGTGAAACTCAATGTTGGTCTAATGTCTGTGCTGCAGTCATGGTTTTGGCTTGCCAGGGAATGTGTGTTACGCATAATGCTTACAATCTGTGATGTTCATCAAGAGCACCGAGTGATAGAGGGAGAGGATGTGCTGGACAGTGAGAACTTGTCTTCGACATTGTGGCTGGGCTGCTTGTTCCCAACTGTTCCTTGTTAAATAACCAAATGAGTTGCTGTGGATAAAAACAGCAGCCGACTACGTGAGTATAGTTATGACTGTAACTGATTAGCTAGCTCATGTTTCCATATGAAATTGCTGCTGTTATAGTCAGTAACAGATCACAGCACTTTTATTGTTCATAAGTAGTTGTTGTTGATTTGTAAAGATAATTGTCGTTTGTGTATGTGTGTTGTCAGTTTTAAATTAAAGTTGGTTGCAAAACTTTGTGTTGTGCACGTTAGTACATAACGGTACTTGAAAAAGCCAAATAGACAATCAAGGATTTTTTTTCTTCCCTCTAACACTATTGCTAAATGCATCGTTTTTGTGTAGTCTTAATATCCGTAATATTGAACTTGAACTGATATTCTATTAATATCCGTAATATTGAACTTGAACTGATATTCTATGTCATGATTACATTGTTTGAAATAGTCCATAAAGCTGTGTAAATGAGTATTGTTAAGGTCTGTTTAATGATATTTAATGATTATTTGTGGAAAACTAAAAACGGGGATTACTCTGGACATTCTGCTAAGAAATGTTTTTTTTAAGTAATTATTAACCAGTGCTCACTGACAAGCTGTCTGCTTGAACATTGCTCGTTTAGTAGGTTTCTAGCTGATGTGAATTTTATTTTCCCCGGTGTTCAAAATACAAAGTTCAAGCACTTACGTGGCCTTTCTGATAGGCTGCACCTTGGCAGGGGAAAAAACGGCGATCTGTTCGTCTGAGTGTGCTGCCCTGGTATAACTGAATGGGACAGATGTGGTACTGTATTATTACATCTTCCATGAACCAGGTTTACCCCCCATCCCTGACCGTCACAGGAGAAAGCCTTAGGAATGTGACGGAGGCAAGATGACTTCACGCTTGACTGAGAGACTGAAAGGAAGCTGGTTCCTCAGTTTGCATTTTCAGTAACCGAATTCCCCTGTGGGGTTTCAATTGTGGGATGTTCTGGTGATCATGCGGGCGTCCCGGTTCGCTCCCGGTGGCTTGTAAAAAAAAAAAAAAAGAGCAACCTGGTTGAAACGCAGCCCTCACTCATGAGAAAATATCCGGGTTTCACGGTCACATTGCCAGTTTTATTTTCTTTGAGGCGTCCCGGAGAGTCAGGAGCGGCCCTTCCGATGTGTAGAATCTGGCAGCCCGCAGAAGCCATGAGCTGATTGCAGAAAACTCCTTCTCGTTTTTGTAAGACTGCGGCGAAGAAAAAATGGAGTCAGAGTGGCTTCTGACCGAATGCCTCTGACGCCGGCTAAAGCAAAGACTGCCGTAACTGAAAGGGAGAATGTACACCTTAGAGTCTGTAGAATATACTGAGAATCCAAAGAATCTCATCATTCTGTGCCTGTATGTTTTTTAGAAAGACAAAGAACTTGTAGTTTTGACATCGGTGAATTGTTTTGATTTTTCTGCAGTGAGCGGTACACTTGAGACACGTTTGACCGTTTCGTAAGTCAAGTTAAGATCGCTTTATTGGCCCTGTACAATTTCTTGTATGAGGAATGTGTTTTTTCGGAGCCCCGCTTTTTCTCTCTGTGAGACACAGACAGGAAGAGAAGCTGGGGGTCAGAGCGCAGGCTCAGCCATTTATACGGCGCCCCTGGAGCAGTTGGGGTGAAGGGCCTTGCTCAGGGGCCC